CCCCCCAATTCCCATTTTTCTCCCCAAAATTCCCATTTCCCCCCCAGAATTCCCATTTTCCCCCAGAATTCCCATTTTTCCCCGAAATTCCCGGATTTCCCTCCAGAATTCCCATTTTTCCCCCCAGAATTCCCATTTTCCCCTCCCAGAATTCCCATTTTTCCCTGGAATTCCCATTTCCCCCCAGAATTCCCATTTTTCCCTGCGGAATTCCCATTTTCCCCCCCAGAATTCCCATTTTCCCTGTGGAATTCCCGTTTCCCCCTCCCAGAATTCCCGTTTTCCCCCTCCCGGAATTCCCGTTTTCCCCTCCCGGAATTCCCGTTTTTTCCCGCCGGAATTCCGGGAATTCCCGGCTCCCTCACCCATCTCTCCATGCCGTGGCTGAGGGCGGGCGCCAGCACCGGATCCTTCCCGGCCGTCACCAACAGCGCCGGGAGAGACGGCTGGGAACGGGAATAACGACACCGGGAATGACACCGGGAACGACGGGAATAACAACAGCCGGAATGACACCGGGAATGACGACAGTGGGAATGGGAACGGGAATAACGACACCGGGAATGACGGCGGGAACGACAGGAACACCGGGAATAGCAACAGCGGGAATAACACCGGGAATAACAGCGGGAATAACGGGAACAGCGGGAATAACAGCGGGAATAATGGGAACACCAGGAATAACGACACCGGGAACACCGGGAATAACACCGGGAATGAGAATGGGAATAACACCGGGAATAGCAACAGTGGGAATAACAGGAACACCAGGAATAACAGTGGGAATAACACCGGGAATAACACCGGGAATGAGAATGGGAATAACACCGGGAATAGCAACAGCAGGAATAACACCGGGAATAACAGCGGGAATAACAGTGGGAATGGGAACGGGAATAACGACACCGGGAATGACGGCGGGAACGACGGGAACAGCCGGAATGACAGCGGGAATGACAACAGTGGGAATGGGAACGGGAATAACGACACCGGGAATGACGGCGGGAACGACGGGAACAGCCGGAATGACGACACCGGGAATGACAACAGTGGGAATGGGAATGGGAATAACGACACCAGGAATGACGGCGGGAACGACGGGAACACCGGGAATAGCAACAGCGGGAATAACACCGGGAATAACAGCGGGAATAACGGGAACAGCGGGAATAACAGCGGGAATAATGGGAACACCAGGAATAACGACACCGGGAACACCGGGAATAACACCGGGAATGAGAATGGGAATAACACCGGGAATAGCAACAGTGGGAATAACAGGAACACCAGGAATAACAGCAGGAATAACACGAACAGCGGGTGTAATGACACCGGGAATACTGGGAATAACAGCGGGAATAACAACAGCGGGAATAACGGGAGCAGCCGGAATAACGACACTGGGAATAACACTGGGAATAACACCAGGAATAACAGCTGGAATGGGAATGGGAATAACACCAGGAATAACAACAGTGGGAATAACAGGAACACGAGGAATAACAGTGGGAATAACACCGGGAATAACACCGGGAATGAGAATGGGAATAACACCGGGAATAGCAACAGCGGGAATAACACCGGGAATAACAGCGGGAATAACAGTGGGAATGGGAATGGGAATAACACCAGGAATAACAGCACCGGGAATAACGGGAACAGTGGGAACAGCGGGAATAACAGCGAGAATAACGGGAACACCGGGAATGACACCGGGAATAACAGTGGGAATGGGAATGGGAGTAACAGAGGGAATAACACCGGGAACACCAGGAACAGCACCGGGAATAACAGCGGGAATAATGGGAACACTGGGAATAACAACACCGGGAATAATGGGAACAGCGGGAGTAATGACACCGGGAATAACGGGAATAACACCGGGAATAACACCGAGAATAACAGCAGGAATAACAGCGGGAATAACGGGAACACCGGGAATAACAGCACCAGGAACATCGGGAAGAACACCGGGAATAACACCAGGAATGAGAATGGGAATAACACCGGGAATAACAACAGTGGGAATAACAGGAACACCGGGAATAACAGTGGGAATAACACCGGGAACACGAGGAATAACAGCGGGAATAATGGGAACACCAGGAATAACGACACTGGGAACACCGGGAATAACAATGGGAATAACAGCGGGAATAACAGCGGGAACACCAGGAATAACAGCACCGGCAATAACGGGAACAGCGGGTGTAATGACACCGGGAATACTGGGAATAACAGCGGGAATAACAACAGCGGGAATAACGGGAGCAGCCGGAATAACGACACTGGGAATAACACTGGGAATAACACCAGGAATAACAGCTGGAATGGGAATGGGAATAACACCAGGAATAACAACAGTGGGAATAACAGGAACACGAGGAATAACAGTGGGAATAACACCGGGAACACCGGGAATAACGACACTGGGAACACTGGGAATAACAATGGGAATAACAGCGGGAATAACAGCGGGAATAACACCGGGAACACCAGGAATAACAGCACCGGCAATAACGGGAACAGCGGGAATAATGACACTGGGAATACTGGGAATAACAGCGGGAATAACAACAGTGGGATTAATGGGGAGAACAGTGGGAATAACACTGGGAACAGCGGGAATAACAACACCGGGAACAACAACACCGGGAATAACGGAGGGAATAACAGGAACACCGGGAACACCGGGAATAACACCAGGAATGACAGTGGGAATGGGAATGGGAATAACAGCGGGAATAACGGGAACAGCGGGAATGATGGGAATAACAACAGCGGGAATGATGGGAATGGGAAGAGCGGGAATGACAAGAACAGGAATGAGAACACCGGGAATTAATGGCAGGGGGAATGAGAACAGCGGGAATGACAACGGGAACGGAAACAGCGGGAATAACACCGGGAATAACGGTGGGAATGAGAACAGGAAGAGCGGGAATAACGGGAACAGCGGGAATGAGAACACCGGGAATAACAGCCGGAATAACAGCGGGAACAGCAGCGGGAATGACAACAGCGGGAATGACAACGGGAAAAACAACGGGAATGACGGGAACAGTGGGAATAACACTGGGAATAACAGCAACGGGAATAATGGGAATAACAGCGGGAATAACAGCGGGAATAACAGCGGGAACAGCGGGAATGACAACAGCGGGAATGACACCGGGAAAACCAGCGGGAATACCGGTGGCAATAATGGGAATAACAATGGGAATAGTGGGAATGATGGGAATTGGGATGGGAATGGGAATAACGGGAATGGGAGCGGGAATGGGAATGATGGGAATGGGAATAATGGGAATAATGGGAACAATGGGAATAATGGGAATAATGGGAATAATGGGAATAATGGGAACAATGGGAATAATGGGAATAATGGGAATAATGGGAACAATGGGAATAATGGGAATAATGGGAATAATGGGATGGGGGATCCCCGGTGGATCCCGAGGGGGAAAATGGGATTTGGGGGATCCCGAGGGAATCCAGCAGGGAACTGGGGGGATCCAGCAGGAAAGGAGGGAAACGGGGGATCCGCAGGGGATCCAGACGGGATCCGGGGTGGGGAAACGGGATCGGGATCGGGATCAGGACTGGGATCGGGATTGGAATTGGGATTGGGATCAGGATTGGGATTGGAATTGGGATAGAAAAAACAGGATCAGGGTCAGGATCAGGCTTGGGATTGGGATTGGGATCAGGACGGAAATCGGGATAAGGATGGGGATGGGGATTGGAATCAGGATTGGGACTGGGATTAGGATGAGGAGCGGGATCAGGATTGGGATCGGGATTGGAACTGGGATTAAGATCAGGATGAGAGTCAGGATCGGGATCGGGACAGGGATCAGAATAAGGATGGGGATCAGGATGGGGATTGGGACCGGGATCAGGATCAGGACTGGGATCGGGATTGGAATTGGGAATAAAATCAGGATCAGGGTCAGGATCAGGAATGGGATTAAGATCAGGATCAGGATTGGGATGGGGCTAAGGATCAGGATCTGGATTGGGACCAGGATCAGGATGGGGACTGGAATCAGGACTGGGATTGGGATCAGAGTCAGGATCAGGCTCGAGATTGAGATCGGGATCAGGATCAGGACTGGGACGAGGATTGGGATCAGGATTGGGATCAGGACCAGGATTAGGGTCAGGATGGGGATTGGGACTGGGACCGGGATCAGGATCAGGATCAGGATCGGGATCGGGACTGGGATCAGGATCAGGACTGGGACCAGGATTGGAACCGGGATTAAGATCTGGATTAGGGTCAGGATCAGGATTGGGATTGGGATCGGGATCAGGAATAGGATTAAGATCAGGATCAGGATTGGGATGGGGCTAAGGATCAGGATCAGGATCGGGATTGGGACCGGGATCACAATCAGGATCGGGATCAGGATCAGGTTTAGGATTGAGATTGGGATCAGGATCGGGATTGGGATCGGGATCAAGATCAGGATTGGGATCAGGATCCGGATGGGGACTGGAATCACGACTGGGATCAGGGATCAGGGTTGGGATCAGGTTCGGGATTGGGATCGGGATCAGGATCAGGACTGGGACAAGGATTGGGATCAGGACCAGGATCAGGACCAGGATTGGGCTCGGGACTGGGACCGGGATCAGGATCAGGCTCAGGATTGGGATCAGGATTGGGATCAGGGTTGGGATCAGGGTCAGGACTGGGATCAGGGTCGGGATCAGGGTCAGGATCAGGATCAGGATCAGGATTAGGATCAGGGTCGGGATCAGGGTCAGGATCAGGATCGGGATCAGGATCAGGATCAGGATCAGGGTCGGGATCAGGGTCAGGACTGGGATCAGGATCAGGATCGGGATCAGGATCGGGATCAGGATCGGGATCAGGACCGGGATCCGTTCCCACCTTGCGGTGTCGGGCGCGCAGGGCCCATTCCCAGTTGGCTCTGATGTTCCGGTACCAGTTCAGGGCACCCCTGGGAAAAACGGGATTGTGCCCGGAATTCCAGGGAACCCCGGGAATCCCAGGGAACCCCAGGAATTCCAGGGAACCCCGGGAATCCCAGAGAACCCCGGGAATCCCAGGGAACCCCAGGAATTCCAGAGAACCCCGGGAATCCCAGAGAACCCCAGGAGCTCTGGGGGGATTGGGGGGCAGATCCCGGGATCCCACCTGAATCCGGATTTCCGGAATTGTTGGATGTAATATTCCAGCTCCGGAGGGGGCAGCAGGCGGCTGCCGGGGGGGTTTTCCGGGAATCCCACCAGGAGCCCCCCTGGGAGGAGAGGGATCCACCCGGAACGGTCCCCCCGACCCCCCTCGGGATCACCCAAATCCCTCGGGATCCACAAAATCCCTTGGGATCCCCCCCCAAATCCCTCGGGATCCCCCACCCCCAAATCCCTCAGAATTCCCCAAAATCCCTCAGGATTCCCCCAAAACCCTGGGGATTCCCCTTCAGAATTCTCTTCAGAAATCCCTCGGGATCCCCAAAATCCCTCGGGATCCCCCCCAAATCACTCGGGATTCCCTAAAATCCCTCAGCATTCCCAAATTCCTTCAGAATTCCCCAAATCCCTGGGGATTCCCCTTCAGAAATCCCTCAGGATCTCTTCCAAATCCCTCAGCATTCCCAAAATACCTTGGAATTCCCAAAATCCCTCAGGATCCCCAAAATCCCTTGGGATCCCCCCCAAAATCCCTCAGAATTCCCCAAAATCCCTTGGAATTCCCAAAATCCCTCGGGATCTCCCAAATCCCTTGGGATCCTCCCCAAAATCCCTCAGGATTCCCCTTCAGAAATCCCTCCAGAAATCCCTCGGGATCTCCCCCAAATCACTCGGGATTCCCAAAATACCTCGGAATTCCCAAAATCCTTCAGGATCTCCCAAATCCCTCGGGATCCCCCCCAAAATCCCTCGGGATTCCCCTTCAGAATTCCCTCCAGAAATCCCTCGGGATCTCCCCCAAATCCCTCGGGGTTCCCAAATCCCTCAGAATTCCCAAAATCCCTCGGGATCCCCAAATCCCTCAGGATTCCCTAAAATCCCTCAGCATTCCCAAATTCCCTCAGGATCCCCCAAATCGCTCGGCATTCCCCTTCAGAAATCCCTCAGGATCTCTTCCAAATCCCTCAGCATTCCCAAAATACCTTGGAATTCCCAAAATCCCTCAGGATTCCCAGAATCCCTCAGGATCCCCCCCAAAATCCCTCGGGATCCCCGAAATCCCTCAGAATTCCCCAAATCCCTCAGGATTCCCCCAAATTCTTCCGGATCCCCCAAATCCCTCAGGATTCCCAAATCCCTCAGGATTCCCAAATCCCTCGGGGTTCCCCAAAATCCCTCGGGGTTCCTAAATCCTTCAGCATCCCCCAAATCCCTCGGGATCCCCCCCAAAATCCCTCAGGATTCCCCTTCAGAATTCCCTTCAGAAATCCCTTGGGATCCCCCCCAAATCACTCGGGATTCCCAAATCCCTCAGAATTCCCAAAATCCCTGGGGATCCCCAAATCCCTCAGGATTCCCTAAAATCCCTCAGCATTCCCAAATTCCCTCAGAATTCCCAAAATCCCTGGGGATTCCCCTTCAGAAATCCCTCAGGATCTCTTCCAAATCCCTCAGCATTCCCAAAATACCTTGGAATTCCCAAAATCCCTCAGGATCCCCAAAATCCCTCGGGGTTCCCAAATCCCTCAGAATTCCCCAAATCCCTCAGGATTCCCCCAAATTCTTCCAGATGCCCCAAATCCCTCAGGATTCCCAAATCCCTCAGAATTCCCCAGAATCCCTCGGGGTTCCTAAATCCCTCAGCATCCCCCAAATCCCTTGGGATCCCCCCCAAAATCCCTCGGGATTCCCCTTCAGAATTCCCTCCAGAAATCCCTCGGGATCTCCCCCAAATCACTCGGGATTCCCAAAATACCTTGGAATTCCCAAAATCCCTCAGGATCTCCCAAATCCCTCGGGATCCCCCCAGTCCCAAATCCCTCGGGATCCTCCCAATTCCCAACCCCCCCATTCCCAAATTGCCCCCCAAATCCCACCGGATCCCACCAGGGTCCCCCTATCCTCAAATCCCACTGGATCCCCCCATTCCCGGATCCCACCAGATCCCCCAGATCCCTCGGGAATCTCCCAAT